AACGAAAGTCGAACCACAACTATGGCCCAAACCGGACGGACCTTGACAAAGATTACACGCTGATTTCGCCGGATCAAACAAGGAAGAAATTACTCAGTTGTTGTCGATGCTTTCACAAAATGACCAGAAGTGTATGACATGCCGAAAACCATATCAGAGAGTACGATAATATTGTCAGGATTGTTTTCTTATTTCGGAGTTCCAGAGATCTTAGTGACCGACAATGGTACTCAGTTTATGTCATCCGCCTTCAAACGCTTTTGCAACGAAAATGGCATATTTCATCTACAATCTCCTCCGTACCATCCTCAGTCGAATTGCCAGGCAGAAAGATTCGTGGATACGATTAAAAGAGCTCTGGTCAAAGGGGGACGTGAGGTTATCCCGGAACAAGTGATTAACAAGTTCTTGATGTCTTACAGAGTTATTCCTAATCCGGCAGTACCAGAAGGAAAGCTTCCGGCCGAGTGTATGTTCAGAAGGAAAATCCGAACAGTCTTTAACAGTATGTTGCCGCTCAGAAAGACAAATAAACTTACGAATGAAGATCGTACGGTCAATCGTAGCTTCCACGTGGGTGAAAAGGTACTTGTCAGATCGTATCAAGGTAATAAGAAGTGCGAACCAGGTGTCATAGAACGTCGAATCGGAAATGTACAGTACCTAGTCCGGAACGTTGTTGGAAAATGTATAAGACATATAAATCCATTGCAAAGAGACTGTAGTGCAGTGGTTTTAGAAAGCCGACTACCATTTCAATTGCTCGTAGATTCATCTCAGAAGAACCATCATGAGCGCAAATATCGAAAAGACAAACGACGCACAGAGAGAGCTGTACAACCCTCGAGAGTAATGGACCGCAAGAGGAATGCGACACCCAAGCTTCAGGTGGATCCAGGAAAAAAATCTTACGTAATGGACTTTGAAGGGGAGAGGTGTGACGACGGACCACCGGTGAACTCGAGGAAGCTGTAAGAGGCTCAGAAGGAGCAGAAGACGTCTCATCCAATCACCTTTTGGAAGAATGTTCTAGAATTCCGACGTGTAGCTTCCCGATTGGATAATGCTAATAAGCCTCTGTATACGGATTGGAAGACTGTAATGATGATTTCATTCTCACTAAAAACTATAAATACCTGACAATTTTGTAGTATGATTGACACTGTTTGGAATAATATTCCTTTAATTAGTCTTCTGTCTTCTTATTGCGACTTGGAAGGGTTTTGGTGTTCTAGTGCTCTGTTATACGCGGTATATCGAGAAAATCAGTTTTGAAGATAATAACAGGTTCAGGGCTCTCACTATCCTCGATTCTATGAAAAATAACTGATCTGTTGGTGTGATCAGCTTTCGATTTTTCGACTACTCTTATGGGGGCAGGATTCCCTTTTATATCACTACGTTGTTTCTTCCTTACAACCTGTACCCATTCGTCAACGGTGCTATGAGATGCAACAACCTGCTGTTGGATTCCAGAGGGTTGTCGACAACCTGGGAGGTCAAGTTATGTTTCTTGCTAGAAACCAATCGAGCCCTGCGATTGCGGCTTCTAGGCGTTTCCTGCTGGATGCCATTTGGAAGACGGGGAACAGAAGAACCTTCTTTTCTTGAGTTTTTGTTTAAGACAGACCTCTTTGGGGACTGTTTTTCCATCTTTGATCGGTGTGAGTCACCTATTTTCGAACTGACCTGAGTTTGCTTCATATCAATTTGCGCGTTTACAGAGCGAGTGCTGTTTGATATGTCCCGACTACGCTTGTTAAAACACTTTTCGCAGCATCTAGCAGTTAGATGGCCTTGGTTAACAAGCTGTTTTCATCCAAACAGCACTGTTCACGAAGCCAAACGCAACCCTTTTTACTGAACCTTTTGAAAGCCGCAGGCGTTAAATTCGAGCAAACTTTGTGGTACTAGCCTTTGCACTAATCACACTGCATGCCGCTTTCAACGGGATAACGACTAATTGGACGTTGGTAACTGCTTTCAGTGCACTGTCTGGTCATTAAAATGGGTCCTTTTCAAAAGAAAGCGAGATGCAATGATGTTCAGGGACAAAGAAGAACTATGACCAAAAAAAATGGAGAACTGTAGATTGTTAGAACTAAAAGTACCAACAGATACAGTAGAAAATAAGGTACTCAAGAGTACCGAAGATAAGCTAGTTGAGAAACAGTAAACGATACTCTAGTCTAATACTTTAGCTGAAAGAAATTCAATTAAAGTGAAAACAACAGTCTTGATACGTATTAAACGATCAAAACAAAATTTACTCAGCGAGGAAAAATACAACTGTCCTTTTTAATTAGCGCGCCAAATGTGTGTTGTCAAATTGTTTCTCCTCATTCTCAAATGGTTCAAATGGTTGTGGCCGGAATAGAAGAAGCTTTCGCTTAACAGGCTTCCGTGTCTAGTAGCAGGGGATCACCAAATCCTCCAGGCAGGAACCTAGGTATAGTAACAATAAAAGAGGAAAAGAAATTGGTAAATCATAGTATGATACTGTCCTTGGTCCTTAAGAATAGGTCAAGTTGCCTCTTGAAGGACTCCTGAGAAGTCGCTTGGACTAGCTCGGCCGGCAGCGAATTCCAGCATTTGACAACTCTTAAAGAGTAGAAGTTGTGTCTACATCCCGTCTTGCTATGTTGAGCTTCCAGTTTCTGGGTGTTACCCCATAGCTTATTATTCGATCTAAGCTTAAGTAGGTGTTTAAGAGGATGTCCAGAAGTGTTAAGAATATTATAAGCCATTAATAAATCACCTTTAAGACGCCTATACTTTAATGGGTAAAGGTCTAGTGAATGGAGGCGTTCTTCGTAAGGCTTAGATTTGAGTCCTCGAACTGATTTCGTGGCTCGCCGTTGGATGCGATCTAAAGTGTCCTTATCCTTTGGGAATGAGGGGGGAAATACTATGTTTCCGTACTCTAAATGGGGATGGATAAACTATTGAAGATTGTATGGAAAGTTCTTCCGTAAAACTGGCCAAAAATGCGCTTCAACGTTACCAGTGCCTGGTTTGCTCGGAAAACATTTTTGTCACAGTTATCATAAGACTTTAAATCATGGGGCACCTGGACTCCTAAATCGTTTTCGACTTGGGATACTACTAGAGAGGAGTTTCCTAAGTCGTAACTGTAGTTTGCGACATGTCGCAGATGAACTACTTTACACTTTGAAGTGTTAAAGGTAAGTCAGTTATCGTCTGCCCAACTTTGAAGTCGAGTAAGATCCTCCTGAAGTGCCTGTATGTCGTCTTGGTTGAGGTAAATCTCTCCAAAGTTTCACGCCGTCGGCAAAACGTAATAAGTCTGACGTTAACTGTTGAGGAAGATCGTTTATGTAGATCAAGAAGAGAAAAGGTCCTAATACTTAGCCCTGGGGAACCCACTAGGACATTCCATAGCCTGAGATAGAGTGAAATTAACCCTAACCTTAAAGTTTCGATTTTCTAGGTATGAAGTAAGCCAATCAATTAGAGGTGGTTTGATACCTAGTCGTTTGAGCTTATTGATAAGACACAAGTGGTTAACTTTATCAAAAGCTTTTGAGAAATCAAGGTAAATGGTATCAACATTTCCCTTGCGATCGAGGATGCTTGTTCATCTGTCCAGCCGCAGTCAACAGGTTGGTTATACAAAGGCAACCTTTCCTAAAACCATGCTGTTGGGGTGAGAAGAAATTTAAGGACAGTAGATAGTCGTTTAAACCATCGCATATCAGGGACTCCATGAGTTTTGAACGAACAGTCTTGGGAGTAGACTGTGCGACCAAATCACCAGTTAATTTCCGTACAGCAACACTTGGGTTGCTCGGCTTAGGCGGTGATGCCTGGTTATTTTGGGCTCTCTTACCGTGGGTCGAATCACCTACAGGGTTTGGGGAACCACTGTTGTGTTCAGGGACCCTGAGTTGGGAGATCAGAGTTTGCTTAGCGAGTCTAATACCTTCGACGTAATGAAAGTGCTGAGCCTCGACACGTCATCATTAGTGTTGATGGATGCTCCATCGACGGTATACCTATCGACATCCCTGTTTTTGTATCCGTCGCACGCTCTTGTTTATCTACCGGTTTTTTTACTATCGTTGTCCAAGTTAACTGACAACTTGTTCCGAAGACCTGTCAGTAGGACAATGATGTTACTCAGCAAGACTACATCATCCGTGCTGCACGTGACAAATACCCATTCTTAGTCTGACTTGCTGAGTCTGTTGTAAGCAGTTGATGTCAGATCTGTGCATGCTTCGTGGAACCAACCTTTGCAGCTGTCGCACTGCACGCCAGTTGCAACAACAAAACGGCATCCCGGACGTTTGCATGAGTTTTTCATGACTATGTTGAAGCAAACTATGTTATAGATGCTTGCAAAAGCCTAAGACATTTAAAAAAACACTAAAAAGCACACTGAAAATGGACAAAAATGGATAAAACGAGTGGTATAAACTGAAACTAGTCTATACGTGAAAAACAAAAAAACCGAATAGTAAGCTGAGGCAAAACCACAGGTAACTATTAAATATGGTGACACTCAAAAAAGTAATCTACCGAACGTATAACTCAGGATAGATTCTTTAGAACTGAAATGGTACTTTTGTTGCGTAAGAACACAGCAAAAGTTTGGTAAATGCAAATCACGTTAGTACTAAACTTCCCGTTCGAAAAGCGCGCGTCACAATCTTTCTTGTCCTACAAGGCAGAGGACTAACGAGGACACTCTAAACTAGTTCACAAGATCAAGACAAATTACTTGTCAGCTGAGTATCAACTTTCCCATCGGACCATCAACGGACGGAATTCCGTAATTCAGTATGTGTCTGAAACTTCATCTGTTGACGTTTTCAAAAGGAAGTTGAATCAACCGAGAGATTAACATAGGCCACCCAGCCTTCAGTCCTCTTCAAACTGAAACTGATAATGGCCGTCAAATCGTTACTGAGAATTGAACTTCGAGCTACAGCAAATCGATTGATGGGCTACCATCGTAGGTCAGTAAATTCTTTCACATGGCTACTGCGCGTTCCTGGAAGCCTCTGAGTCTTTTTTACGTAGAATATCCTGAAGGTAAGAAGATATTTGTTTTCGTACGTACTTCAAGCTGATGCTTTCGGAAAGCTACTGGCGTATTCCAGTATGGTGCCAATATTTATAATTTTCAGCATCATAACTCTTATAATGTCGAGAAGAGATTTGCATACGGTATTATCAGTTTTAGAATTCGCAATTAGATTACAAGATATTTTATTTTTGTGGTTGTCTGATCAATGAGTTGAGTAATTATTTTCTTAAATACATAATTAAGCAGCCAAGGCCTTTCCCAACCAGTTTGTTTATAAATAATGTTGACAAATCTTTGTACATACAGTTCACCTAGGTATTAAGTCATCAGGTATGCCTTCAAACCACGCACAATTCATGGGCTTTTTCTGTGCTTACATTGGATTTTTCCTATTCATAAGGTTAGTGAAGCATTTGCTTATTCGATTATTTAGACTCAATCAGCGATCCTTCAGTCGCCAGTTTACAACATTTGTTTACTTAGTCTGTGCATCAGTTACTGCAATAGTTTGCTACAGCAGGTACCAAGAGTTTCTAATTATTTCAAGGGTTTATTTATTGTATCATACTTCTACTCAAGTTTTAGTTGGGATCATAATAGGTGGAATTCTCGGGATGATATGGTTCCTAATTGTTCAGTATGCAATAACACCAATATTTCCGCGGTTCACTAATAGGTAGGTTTTAATTTAATACCAATGTTTTCGAAAACAGTTACCCAGACCTATTTTTTTGACAAACAGTGCACAGTCATTCTCGAAGGGATCAAAGGGTGAACGTTTGTACGCTTAGTCTTTAACAAACGTTTTGACTTAGCACATCGTGTAGTAGTTTTGCATTTTAACCTGTTGTTCAGTAACCCAATACAATCCTTGTGCTTAGAATATTCGAACAACCCTAAGACCACTACACATTTCGTTGGTTAGTATGTTTTGAATGAGATCCTTGGTTGGTATATATATATATATATATATATATATATATATATATATATATATATAGAGAGAGAGAGAGAGAGAGAGAGGGAGATGCATTGCCACATTTAAGTTTGGAAATCGTAATGAGTCATTTTGATACATGATCTATAGGTGCTTAATGACATGAATCGCGTTCACATCGAAGTTAAGCGTTACATTTGCCATAAAGATCTTGCGGAATATTTTTTTGGTGAAATCGTTCACTAATCAAAGTGGTTCAGAAACTTTCGCATTGGCACAAACACATTCAGTCTTTGTTGTCGCTTACATTTTTCGTTCTATGACTTCAGGTAGTCATATGCAACAAACAACTTGACATATATGCACATTGGTTGAAGTCGCTATACCATTTTATAACATCCTGCCAATACGTTCCCGAATCAAATTGTCTACCTCTAATATTTTTTACTGTTACTATTTTAAGAATTGTATTGGTAATGTTGTCTCGCTACACTGACGTAGTGTGGGAACACAAAATAATGCAAATATATGCCAGGTTCAATGTTGTTTATGACTGAAAGGGACACAGCACAATAGTGTTCTAGCATTAAGAGGTTACAAATGGAACAGAATGTCTTACCAAATATTGCAAATTGGACTATGGTATGAATGAACTAGTTGGATTTCCTAATTTCCAGGCCCCGTTTTAGTATAATTGTTGGTTGGCCAAATATTGGTTCACAACAGAGGTAACATGGGAATACGTGAATTCATTTATCTAAATTGTCACACTTTCCAAAAGTACAGAAATTACACAGGTAACTGAGTCGTCCGAACGCACCGTAGAACCTGGTACGCGTGTACACCAGTTCAAGTTGTCATATCCAATCAACGTAGATGAAATTGTTAACGCGAACCCTAGAGGTAAAGATAGTAAGTGCTAAATGTAATGGAGAAGATAATGCATCCAAGATGCGATTTGAGGAAATATCGATCAGTGTAATAAAAAAATTCATGAGGAATTTAGGAACTTAAGATCTAAGGGGAGATAAATAGTGGATGTTCCTGCGCCATCACGAATGACTTAAACCATGCCATCCAAAGTCTACAACCACTGGTTAAGATAATTATGCGGACCCCAACCAGATGGTTCTTATCAACCCAGATAGCCCAGTCCAATTGTCAATAGCCTCATGGTCTTGGTTTAGCTATCCATAGCTTTCTTCCAACCTAATCTTACACCAAACATCGCTCGTCAAGGTTAGTGGTGGTTGAACATACATCTTACAACCACTTCCGCTGATGAATACTTACCCACTCACCGCCTGACTTGCCATGTTTACTTAATTACCTATTCCTAACCCAAACATAACCATTACTTACTCAATGGTTCAAAAATAACCAAGTAATGCCTCGAAGACACCTATGATCGAATACTGGTAACTTACTCCTTGAATTCAAATTTAACGACAAACTACTTACCATATTCTTTAGAAGCTAATTATTTGCTCATATCGTTTATTAAGATCTGGCAAAATGATGACAACTTAGTTTCTCAGGTTGTTTTCTTGTCCTATTTACTTTGGCTGTTACTACAGTGTCCTTAAAACACGGCGAGAAACTTGGTACAGTTTGGCACTTACAAGATCTTCAGTAGAAATGAAATCATGACAAGTTGGAGAAGTATAAATTAATTATGTAATAAGGAATACTGTATAATGATATATTTAGGACTTGACACAAACCAAAAAGACTTCTTGATCAGTTTATATTTAAATTAGTCAAGTACTTTGCTCTGAGTTACTGGTCAAACTGAGACTGAGGTGTGTGTAGGAAGCATATAACATAACTGCAAAGTTGTAGGGAATCAAATGTAATGGGTCATTTAGACGGCGTATTCTCATTCCTACTTATAAATCCGATCCGAGTTCCGAACCACAGACCGTATAATAGCACCAACTCAAAACATTACCTAGATAGGTTTTTTTTTAATCAAGAACGTTTGTATTTTGTGAAAAATTCCTTAGGGATGCCTCTGGATTAAAAAAATAGCATCCTGACGTACGAACCCTGTGATCTTTAGGAGACATACCAGTATGCTGTAATGAAGGAAAAAACTTTTTCGCTTCACGGTATCGCATCATAAACCGATCACGACCCCGCTTTTTGCACAGTGTATTAGTGTTGGCAATCAATATTCCATATAAGACAACCTTAAATTGAGTAAAATGTATGTTTCTGTAGCGGATCGGGAATTAAATTGATTGTTCTTATATGTTAAGAATATCACATTACGGAAAGGTTTCCTAAGTTATTCTGATAATTTTTTGTTTGTTTTTTCGTAGTTGGATTGGTCAATTATTAATGTTGCAAGACTTTACACATATCAACAATCTTATGCATTTTGAATATACTATTGTGCAGAATTACATTCAGTAAGCAAACAGTTTTGATATGTGTGTAGCTAGCAACAAATGCTTACTATTTTTAGGCATTTGTATTCATATACTTGACTTTTGATGAGTAAATTGCTTATCTGATGGATGGATCATGTGACAGGCTATGGACGGATTCAAGAAGTTTTAGGAGATTTGAATGGAGAGTTTGGTGTTTGCCAAAGTAGACACTACTGACCGAATTTCATGTAGGTGAAATGTTATATGGTCACTGAGGCATTATTTGGGAATTACAATTCAATACAGTGAAGACTGGTCTCGAAGCAAACAAACTCATTGTTGTCCCTTAGACGTGCCGGTAATTCTCCGTGTAGCCTCTCACCCTGAATTTCTGTTAAGATATATAAATATATATGTCTTATATTGTCATTTTTAATTTGTGTAAACAAAGTGATAAAGGTTCACAATAATTACCGTACTAACAAAGAAATACTACTTTAGGTGATTTTGACAAATCTTAGTAAACTGTGACCAATATTGATTATTGTCTCAAATTTTCTATGAAAATATCCGTATGAATATAATGACCTTCTCTTAATTTCAGTAGAACAAAATCCGAAAGGCCCACGTGAAGAACATAGCGTTTTTTTCATTTATGAACTATTTTTGCGGCCAGTTTTTTTCTAATAAACAACTTATTAGCATTTCTCGTTTTTCTTATATTGTGCGTAACATCCTGTTATTCACTAGCGCAGTCTTGTCATTTTTCAGACCCTCAAAACTTCAATTGAAGAGAAAAGATATCACTGTTACAAAAGATACATTTACAAGTACTAGGACCCACTGAATAATGTTATACATAGAACCACACTGTAGAATCAATAAACAAGTCTTCATCTGTATGTTCATGGATGTTCTAATTCTTCTGGACGTATCGGCCTCGTCATTGGTATGACAGATCGTTTAAGCACATCCGCTGAAAGTGCTTTTCTCATATCTAAGAAAATTGAACAGATAACTTAAAACATTGTTTTTGAATTGTTTGTAGTATACTTTATATTTAATATTAGTTTTGCATTGTTTCCCAAAGTAAGAAATGATGGAACTGATAGTTCCACTTAGTATAGTACAGAAGTAAATGAGTGAACAAATATAAATGATATAAGTAACAAAAACTTACTCAAACTTCAATGAATATTCACAAACACCAAACAATTATGTAAAGTCGGTTAATCATTTGCTTTAAAGTGGACATTTAGTGGAAAGGGTAACTCGAAGACTTAACATTCAGGAGTTGGACAATCCAATCTTACTGGACAGGCACAGTACATTTGAGACCGATTAAAAGCGCAAAATTTTAGATTCGAATTGATATGTGCTTGGCTGAGTAGTCCTGAAATCCTAATTTTAACAGTGTGAGAAAGTTGCCGATTATCTCAGAAATTATTACATTAACCAAAACAGCATCGAGTTTTCCAGAATTTCCGAGGTGCATATCTGCAAGCGTCTAGTATGTCTTCAAACAGTTTTACGTCTAAAAAATGAAACTTGTCAGTCAGTCACACACAACATAGGACACGGCACATCCGCATCGGTTCAGGTTGCCACAACACATCAGCATGATTAGATCTCTGAGTAGTGTAGGTATGAATAGTACTGGTGATAGTTAAGAAATATGATGCGAGAAAATATGGATTCGTGGGATAATATAAGATAAAGAGTAGATGTACCTGTGTCACTGAGCTATGCCATCTAAAGACTAGCCCCATATATATTTCTAGCCGCTTATTCTTGCTAAAATAATGAAAAGATACCCCTATATATTCGAATGGCTTTGTGGACATCCATTCAGTTAGCCGACTTGCGATTAGGAAACTTGAGTTGCTGAAGACAGATGCTCAAAGGTCCGCCGCTAGCGGAACTACTTTTGACAAGATGGTAACAACCTATCATAATTCTATTCCACACTTTTTCTCCCATCTCAATCATTTCTTAAACAAACCATTTTACTGCAATGGATATTATTAATTCCCCATCTTATTTTCTTGTTGTGTTGATGCAAGGTGTAGGAACCTGAGCCGACACATGTTTATAACTGAATAATTTGATCTGTTCAGATCGAAGGTATGTTCAACTAACACCATAATGTTTTGCCTTTTGGTTATCAAAAGTTAAAACACAAGAAGTGTGGATTTTTATTTACAAATGGACTTGTAACCTTACTTGCTTATAGCGAAAACATATCCAAAGATACTTGATTATATGTATAACCTATTCTAAGGTAAATAACAAGTTGTGCGGTAAAATTGAGAAACTTCATCTAGTACTATGACTATATTTTGGAATACTAGTTGAATTCTTGTCGCATTGATAAACGACATGTGAATAACTTGAGCTAACTATCTAGTCATCTGAAGCCTTATATACGCAACTTTATGAAGAATCCTAAATAGTTTGACACTTACCGAAAGCATCTTCGTCTTCAACGGAACCCCAGTAGTAATTTAAGACTCTGCGGTATATAATATATCCCAATTTACTATAAATGTCTATGCCCAGTTTGTTAGATGCACGTACGAATAGATCAACAAAGTAACATCGTTTCCTAAAGGAAAGAGAAGAATTGGGGGATTCAGTTTAATAGCGACGTAAAACTTATAGGAATGAGCCCTATGGCTTAATTATTATGAATCTTTGCACTAGTGCGATTGTTATACGTTATTCTTCTAAATTTATTTCCCCACACTCTAGCAGCTATACTCATTCTTTAGTGCGATTGAATTTCAAAGGTTTTTTATTTGATATCACTGTTATCTGAGTCTTAAAGTAATCGACTCGCTTAGTGTGACTGTAAAACAGCATATTAAATGAAAACTTGAAGTTTCTCAATAATCTTTATATTTCGTAAAACCACATTGTAGTGGCAAGTCTGAGTGGTAGCACATTAGGTTGGAAGCCAACACTCTACTGTGTGATATCGAGTCAGATAGTTCCTTAAACATAAATAAAACCTTCAAACTCGTAAGAAGTTGGGTCCTCGTCATAAGAGAACAACCTTGGAGTAGGCTATTTACAAAACACCAGGGTTTTCCAACTCCCCTAGGTGAATCCTGTATCCACCAACCCGGTTAAAAAACCATACATTCGCTTTTCGTCCTCTCATTTTCGTAAACAACACCCCCGCCATGAGAAGGCAGTGAGTAGGACTTCCCTGGCAGAGGCTATATACGCGTGGCCATGTGAGAGCATTTCGAGAGGGAGAGCGGACTCTCCCCACTCTCGGCCGTACCAGGGCATTTGGCGGCCCTTTTATCATAATGTTCAAACACTGCAGAGCAAGCATCATGTAATGTACTTTTTTAGTGTTGACTGAATTCCACCAATCAACTCTGCAATTTGACCGTCAGAATAAATAAGTTTTTCCATGTTGAGTACATAGTAATCCGGTGTATAAAATCAGATGCGATGTCTCAGTCTACCGTATCTTTTCTTTTAACACTACGCGCCTATACAACATAAAAGTTTCTAAATGTATACTGATTAGTAGACTGTTGTGTTACATAAAAAGAAACTAGAAGGAACTTAAACAAAGGGGTCTGTTTTCTTAATAAAACACCAGGTTAGTAGCAACATCTAGTTTATTGCCAAGTAAGTCCTTCACAGTCGTGAACTTCAGGTATACGTAATTTATTTAAAAAAACCAGGGCATTAACGACAGCTTTTTCAGAAATATTTGGACCATACCAATCTTAAGATCCAGTTTATTTTCTAAACGTCCTTACCGTTCGGAAGTTTCTTCTAACTCTAGCATTAGTTGAGTAGCTAATCTCAAACGACGATACTCAGGAGCCACCGACAGCGCTGTGACATGACCATGCCAGTCCACTCCATGACCTTCTGACTTCGCCATCATATAGCCCATAAGTCGTTGACACGTAGATGGTATTGATAATACCTTGGGAGATGGGTTTTGTGAATCACCTGTGTGTGGAATATCCGAAAGACATGTCAAATTTCTTTCAAAGCAGGTTAGTGTGGGTGATTCTAGGACTCGCATATACTCTGGCCATTTTGCCAAATAATGCAGATAAAATCCGATACTATACTGTTATTGCCATTAGAAGTGTAACAGTACCACTAGGTTAAAGAAAGTACAATTTCATAATGGTCTATCGAGCGTATTCTAAATAATATACAACTTAGAGGGAAAACAAGTTTTTTTAGTTCATTTGCTTGCCACCTACTGGACACGCAGCACACGAGAGACGCGATGTACATATTCAAAATCGTTAATAAACAGTATAGTTTTACTCTAATGATAATTGTGTAAAATATAGCAACTAAGAGGCCCATTTAGAAAGTTAGTGGTTACGGTTCACGTGCTTTGATAATAATTGAGCTAAGTGAATAAATTAGTTTCAATTGTTCAACTTAAGGATTTTTCTATTTTAATTGTAATTTTAGTAAACCTTTATCCTTTTGTGTAACAAAAGTCGTTTTTTAACACACTATAACTGCCCATAAACACCACTAACTTTTCAATGTAAACTATGTTCCAAATGTGTCTTCCAAAAAACTTACTGCCCCCTGATTGGCAAATAATTTCTTGATTTCTAAGTACGTTAAAATTTCAAGATAACTTAATAACTTAGATATGGTTAAGGAGGAAGTAGTAGACTACACTGAGTTTACTGGGTTTTCCAAACACTGATATTTTTACTTTTTCAATTTGTGTGAGGAACCGTTTGAATAATGTTGAACTGTCTAATATGTAGATTACACATAGAAACAGTATTATTAACGTTCATTATGCAAATTAATAAATAATGATATCAAGGAAACCACATAATTCCAATAGTTCGAATTCTTGTTCATTAGAAGTTTGAATCATTACTTTTAAAAAGCAAATAAACAATCAGTATTATTTTAAGGTGTATAGTTAACTTATACTCGGTGAAGTGTGTTGAAAACTTTATCTGATGAATAATGCTGTTTCTCTGTATTCATAGTATACAAACCAGCGTTAGATTTCCGTTAGTATCGTATTCCTAGTGATATTATATTAGCTGGACAAATATATAAATACTTTCACATACACCTCAAATTCCACAAGATTCAGCAGACATATAACTAATATGCTAAAGGATACAGTTTCCGTATACATATCCAGATTACTAAAACAAAAGCAAAGAATATGGTTGAATATGTAGTACAAATATAATTTTAATAAACTAAGTAATCAGTATACACAAAACGATTTATAACGTAAAATGGAGCCATATTCGTGCTTGTACAGTTTAGGCATATACTTACTTTCAGTAGCTCTTAGAAAAACGCAGCACAGTTAGAACATGGCTTACGACTACCTAAGTTCGATTTCCATATTTAGGTAAAATGAAACAAAATGACGCCACTCATAAGCCCAATACAGTACAACAAACCCTTGAGGAAAATAAACTGACTTCTCAAGTTAATTAGCAATGCTAATTCTGAAAATTCTGCTACATATGGGAGAGTAATATCAAGGCTCATAGATTTCAATAGCTAGTAACTGAATCTTAACAGCTAAATACTTCATAGGTTGTATTTTCCATCAATAACTGATCTTACTAATACATTAGTAGGTTTATATTCAAAGAGGAAGCCTAATATTATAAACGAAACATAATTTTTAGATTCTCTGACGATTTCTGCTGGAAACAAAGTATATTAAACTACTGTCAGAGGCAGCGTTATCCATTTTATTCGATATCATTTAACCTTAATAAAGATAATACTCTCTCACCTAAAATAATAAAAAACAGAAAAACGAAATTAATGGAAAATAATCTACAGCATATGTTAAGAGGTTTAATTGATTTGTAGCATTTATTTATCACTAATAACTGGAAGTTTTCTTCATCAGGAATTTGAGTCTGACGTAATTCCAATCTAATTTACAAATATTATTGCGGAAGTCGTAACACTGAATCAATGTGTCCGCAGATAACATCGTATCTATGCGTGGAAATACTATCGACGTATGTTTGTAAACCGAAATATCAGGTTTAGCCATGCTTGGTGTACAACAACATAACCCAACACTTACGTTATTCTAACCGAATTATTTGTTGTTAAAATATATTTCAAAGATACTTTCGTGTATCAGGCACAAGATGTGTTGACCAGTTCGTTACATCACCAAGTGAGTTTTGAACTCCACAAAACTAGTATCAAAATTCGTAAATAACCAGTGAGTCGAAACAGGATGTAATCACTTTAACACATTATTTATTTATTTATTTCAACACATAGATATTGGTACAAAGAGGCACCAAATACATATGCGCCACACAAATCTCATTCGATATGTGTGAGGGCTTTGATACTGCCCGGGTGCCCAAACCGAAACAGGTGGTTTTCTTAGGGGGCCACACCCGGAGCCTTCGACCTGAGGGTCTGATCCACAAGGCAGTGGAGCATCGTAAGGAGATACAGTCCCATGGAAGCCGGTGACCAACAATTGGTCCATACGCCATTTGTTCCCGCAAGATACTGGAGCCCATGTGCACCATTGATTTGGAATCCGGTTAAAGCGCCGGACATTCGCTTTTCGTCCTCTCATTTTCGTAAACAACACCCCCGCCACGAGAAGGCAGTGAGTAGGACTTCCCTGGCAAAGGCTATATACGCGTGGCCATGTGAGAGCATTTCGCGAGGGAGAGCGGACTCTCCCCACTCTCGGCCGTACCAGGGCATAGGTTTTCCTAACCAATGATAAAATATGCAACATCTAAGGATGAAGCACTCATTATTGTAGTTCGATTTGTAGACGTCCCTTACGTATGCCCAACCACTAACTACCTCGACGTGCTATACTCAGTGGTATAGGAGTAGGTTGGAAGAAAGCTAGGGGCGGCCAAACCAAAACATGGCACAAATCCATGAAGTCACTGACAAGTGGACTGAGTCATGTTGGTAGGTGTAGACTACCTGGTTGGGGACCGCGAGATGATAGCAACCGATGGTTAGAGACCCTGAATGACATGGCTCAAAATCGTTTGCAATGGCGCAGGTGCATTCACTCTCTATGTTCTCCCAAATTCTATTCTTCTGAATTCTTCATGTCCCTTTTTTTCCTCCTTCCAAATTTATTTCACTGGATTATACTCGTTAAATAACATCTCCAAACCCTAATCTTCCCGATTACTGCTTATAATCTTGCTACCTCTACCACTACGGGATTTGAATCGACCACTGCATCTCTGTGCTAATGTGGTATGGCAACTCGAACTGATGTACGTACGTACTAAGTTCTACGTTGTTACTGACTGACTGAGACTTCCCTTACAGTACTAGACACTTTGTTCCCGAATGTCCTGGTACGACTTAGGATGCGGAGAGTCCGCTCTTCTTTTTAAAATGCCCCCACACAACATGTATACAGCCACTGCCAGGGAAGTTTTACTCACCGCCCTGTCACGCTTAAGAAACGAAGAATAAGAGCTGACAATTTGATTATCAGGCTACATCGTAACTAAGATTAGTAGAAAATAAACTAATAACTATCCATAAAGACGAAACAACTGACTTAAAGGTGTGTCCATAAGTGTGAGAGTCAAGAATAACTAACAAATAGTTGACGAACACACAAAAGATCAAGCACAACAATTAATGGTTTTACTGTACTCTAAAGTCATATTTAAAGGTCACGTAAAACAAAACTAAAGTATAATCAGGCAAAAACTTACATATTCGCAAACTTCAACAAGTCTAAGCAAGTAAATGGCCTCACGGTTACCATGCTGCAGTCGATTTTCTCTCCGACTCGATTACAGAAGAATATGTCTAGCAATTTACAAACAGGTTACATATAACTGAAATCACAATACATCAAATGAGGGTAAGGTTGTTATGTATACATCTATACTAAACCAAAAAATATCAGCTCTAATAAAGGGTGAAAAATACTTTCCGCAGCAGAATATTACTGTCTTCAAAGGTTATTCTTTATGATAGTAGGGTCACCGTTTAAACATGTAGACCTGAGGAAGTAAAATATATGTGGTTATGTAGAATTTGAGTATGTTTGGCCCTTTCGAACTTATTTGTAAATTTCTTGATGCAACATTACTATTTTGATTTCATATGACTAATAATTGACTTAGCTCTTTATACTTTTCTAACCTACTTCTCGTCTATCTACTACTTATTGAGATTTATTGCACAAATAAAACAATATACCAGAATCAGGAAACATCCTCAGACTATTTTAATGCTGGCAGACACGATTGTTACACTGTAAATGATGCAGTTCAGTATTATCACTCAACCATTCAAAACTCCTGAGACTAAAAAATATCACCCGTAATTTAACTTATAAGGCCGAATAAAGGCATCTGATAAATAACCACCTCCCGCTCATTTTTTTTCATTTGTCGTAGGTAACACCTTCATATGCCAGCAAATAGGGAAGCGCACAGTACAGCAGTCTCAACTATATTACTGCACGGTTGTCTTAATGGGCTATAAAAGTAGAAGATATGCGTAGGCTGAGAGTATTTCATTATAAGTATCTCTTAAGTATTTCTCACACTAGAATAAATGAGTGATTAATCTTTAATTATATGCACAACACCAGGAGAAACGTGAAATTACATTTATGAGGTTAAAAACCTTCAACGGAGGTAGTTATAATGAACACTACGCATTCTTAAGCATTTCTTATACCGATATGCAACTTCGGGTGATATATGTTGGCAAAAAACTAGCACGAAAAGTTAAGATGTGAGATTTGTCCATAAAATTCCTGATTAATCGCAATGACCATTCCGAAAAGCATAGACTTTTTGGCACAGATCGGTTCAACACTTGTAAAAAATGGTCGCAGATGTTGAATAATATGGAATACAATCGGTCACTGTGGCCAAGCGGTATTTGGTCCTTACGTCCAGCCAAATTTTCGGCATAGTACTATTTCTAAATTTTTAATTTACGAACCCATTTATTTGTACCGTATTTCTCATGTTTACATTCCAATCTTTCTAGACATTTCAAACCTCATGCTTGTAGTCTCGATGAATACCTCGAAGACACATACATTCTACACAAATAATGACAGCTCTGGGAGGAAATTACCCAAGCTGTATGTATAATTTGCGACATGTTGTAGATAGCCTACGCTAAATCTGTGAGGCTATAATTTACGGACGAACCCATCATGTACAACATAACAAGTCTCGGATTTTGGCGCGAAATTCACTCATTCATCTGGGTAAATAGTGTTGACATTTTAGCTGATGTTAGTTCGTGATGAAAACTCTAAGTCTAATTTTTATCTTAATCATCAACTGTAAATCATAATTTTAATTCCCAACACAGGTTCATAACCCTTATTTGGTTATGGATACTAGGTGAGTACTTTCAAGGTCAGTTTAGCGTTCCTCAGATGTCATCTATAAATTGTAGTTTCACTGTAGTAGCTTTTCAGTCTGGCTGAAAATTCCCCAAAGTTTTAGATAATCAGCAATAAATAATATTCCAAAGGATACCTAACCGAGGTCACTTATGCCAATCAAAGAAGAAAAACCCCAGCTCTGAATTCTAATAGGCCTAATTAAGACACTGTAGCCTGAGAAAATATGAGACTTATTTTAACCTTAAAAAGCGTTATCTAGACATGACTTAAGCCAGTCTGTTTGGGTGGCTCACATTTTACGGAAACCATAAAGCTTTATCGTGAGAAAGACCTTGCTTTCATTCCTCAGTGAAGTGAGGCAGATTGAAAAACAGCACCGAAGATCAGGAGCAGACAAAGACCGCGAGTAGCACTTGACAAGAAATGGAAGAAACGACCGAGGGCAGTTATTTCACCGTCTTGTCGGCAGCCTGTAATGTAAGTGGTAGAAGGCCGTAGCAATTAGGCAGGTGAACCAGACTAACAGTGATGACTTGATACTTATCAACTTGAGCTTTTTGAAAAGTGTATGATCGAATCACATTTGAGTCATTGGACAGATGACGAGGTATTGTTTATCATCAATAAATCTAGCAACCAAACTGACTAATCTTAAAATATATTTGTGGGCTTCAAATGCCAGGTCTAAATTGTAACACTTGTAAAGTCATTTTCGACCACAAAATACTAACAGATACGCCCGCATAAACTAACCTTTAAGTAGGGACCTAACTTGTGCATTGCGCCTTCAATACATTAGTTTTAATTTCAATATTTTCAAGTAATTCAAATGGTATGTATGGAATAGAAGAAAGTCTCACTTAACGAGCTTCCGTACCTAGTGATAGTGGGTCGCTAATACCTCCAGACAAGAACTTCTTTATATTATCGATAAAAAAGGAAAAAGAAAAAAATTGTCAAGCCATAATAAGATAATATACTTAAAAATATATCAAGTTTCCTCTTAAAGGACTCCTGATAAGTCGCTCGGACTAACACATCTGGCAGTGAATTTTAGCACTTGACTACTCTTAAGGAGTGGAAGTTGTGTCTACAGTCCGTTCTGTTGTGTTGTGTCACCAGTTTCTGGGTTTTACCCCTTAAGGTTAGTGTTAGGACTCGGCTTAAGTAATTAGAATGCCGTAAGCTGTCAGAATATCACCCTTAAGATGCCTGCTCTTTAATGAGAAAATGTCAAGTGTTCTTTATAAGGCTTGAATTTGAGTCCCCGAACTGAATTCATGGCTCGCCGTTGGATACGCTCCAGAGTGTCCTAATCTTTTTGGAATGAGGGGGAAATACTATATTTCCGTACTATAAAATAGAACAAATGAAATTGCTGAAGATTATATGGAAGGTTCTATCGTCAAACTGGCCAAAAATGCGCTTCAATGTTACCAACGCAAGATTTGCTCGAAAGGCATCTTTGTCACAGTTATCGTAAGACTTCAAATCGTAGGGTACCAGCACTCATAAATCTTGTAGCGGTAAATAAATCCCCAAAATAAAAAGCTCTGTAAGTTTTCGACATTGGATGTTGACCATATGTTTTAGTGGACTTGTAGCGTGGTGTCGAGTCCAGATTGACTATGAACACCGCTACCAGGAAGCTCGTTCTAGATGACTCCATAAAATTTCCGAGAAGCTAAATATCAGAATTCAATTAATGGACTAAGTCGAGGTTTATTTGCTGGCTATCTCGTGTCATCGAAAGGATACCGAGATCGTGCCAGGATACACGCTTGGTTACAGAACGTAACCGAATTCGCGCGAAGTTACAATCGAAGTGTAAGTATAAGAATGGAAGCACAATATAGCTGTCATTAGCACAGTCAAACAAAAGCACATTAAAACAAACACTGGTACAATTGGTTATATTAATAATTGTTTTTATTAAACCAGTCGTGTTCTCGTGATAAATGTGAGTCACTACAGACTCATCTAGCTGAAGGCGCTTGGTCATGCACGTGTGGTATCGCTGTGCTCAACATCTATCGCAATCGCTAGCCAGATTAGATCAGAGCATTCCGATATATTGGTTATCGCCAAATACACTGTTCCGATCTCCTCGACTCTGTCTTTTGATTTCTCTCGGTTGGACCAAATTATATTAGGTGTTACTGGTAGAAGCGTTGTCAAACACTGAATACCTGTTTCATCGTCAATCTTTTTCAACTTGTGAAACTACTAGTGGGAGCTGCCTAAATTTTGGCTGCAGTCTGCAACATATCTCAGATGGACTGCTTCATACTTTGAAGTGTCCGTTGTCGCCTTCCCAACTCTGAAGTCAAGTCAGATCCTCCTGAAGTGGCAGCTTATCCTCTTAGTTGAGTACCTCTCTCCAAAGTTTCACATAATCAGCAAAAATTAATAAGTCAGACGATGTTTTCTTTGGAAGATCGTTAACATAAAGAAAAAAAGAAGAGGTCCTAAAGAAGAAGAATGTATTTGTAAAATCTCAGCGAAAGAATTTGAAGTAAATCCAATATTTCGTCTGGCAATCTGGTTCAAGCTTTTTCAAGGAAAATATTATCAAACAACAAATTATTGAATATAAATAGGTACGTGGTTCTCCGGTTTACAGTATACTGAATGAGTCACCCAATCAACGTGAACAATGATTAAAGTAGGTATCTACATTAGTGTGTAAGAGACGTGTGGTGTGAAACGAAGTATTAAGATAACAGATTGGGTGTATGCGCAAGTGCAGTGAGAAATTTCATTCAACTATATATTGTCTTCGGTTTGTGAATATTAAGAAAACATATCATTTTATATATAACATGAATCAAAAATGTTACAGTATGCATTAAATGATGATAAATAAACAAGATAAAAGACTGAGTTCAAAGAGGAATGTATTTGCAATTGAAAGTTTGTGTTATTTTAATGTTCCAGTCAATTGTTTAACATATTCAGATAAGATAACTGATTTGAACCGTTGAATGTATTATCTATTGATTCGTTAATATGATATAGATAGATAGAATGGAATAAGGAGTTCAGGTTTACTTATTAATTATTACTTGCCATGGGAAAGTTAGTTGTATTCCATCTCTCCTATTAATATATGTAGGGCTTCGGCTGTTAGTCTTTATTTGTAGGAATTAAAGCCTTTTTGAATGATTCTTGCAGAAAATTTGTGGGATAATTAACGAACAGTCCCAACTAGAAGTCAGTAGGGAAATCCTAAAATATTATGTGATATGTTGTCTACTCGTTGATAGTAGGAAAGGACGACTTGAAAATCAAATAGATATGTAGTGGCAGTGGGCTCTAACCACACAATCTTCAAAGCTGAACACGAAAAGAGATATAACGCGGAGAAAAACCTAACGATGGAGAAA